AAAGTCCAGTCAAAAGTCCAGTCAAAAGTCCAGTCAAAAGTTAAGTAAAAAGTCTAGTAAAAAGTCCAGTAAAAAGTTAAGTAAAGAGTCCAGTTGAAAATCCAGTTAAAAGTCCAGTAAAAAGTCCAGTAAAAAGTCCAGTTAAAAGTAAAGTAAAAAGTCCAGTTAAGAGTTAAGTAAAAAGTCCAGTAAAAAGTCCAGTTAAAAGTCCAGTAAAAAGTCTAGTAAAAAGTCCAGTTAAAAGTTAAGTAAAAAGTACAGTAAAAAGTCCAGTCAAAAGTCCAGTCAAAAGTTAAGTAAAAAGTCTAGTAAAAAGTCCAGTAAAAAGTTAAGTAAAGAGTCCAGTTGAAAATCCAGTTAAAAGTCCAGTAAAAAGTCCAGTAAAAAGTCCAGTTAAAAGTAAAGTAAAAAGTCCAGTTAAGAGTTAAGTAAAAAGTCCAGTTAAAAGTTAAGTAAAAAGTCCAGTGAAAAGTCCAGTAAAAAGTCTAGTAAAAAGTACAGTAAAAAGTTAAGTAAAAAGTCCAGTAAAAAGTAAAAATTAATAAATAAATTATTAAAATTAATTTAATTTAATTTACTTTATTAGGGTAAATGTGCCGATTGTAGAGAATTGTTCCAGTTGTCGAGTTAGCAGACTTTGTATTTTTTTTAAACATTGTATCACATTGTAAATGTTATAATTAACAAATAATTATTTTCGTGTGCGTGTAAAATTAGAAGGTAAGTTTATGCAGAAAACAATTGAATTTCACATAATATTAATTTGATTTTTGTTAATGGCTTTAACACCCCCAAGACTTGTTTTTCTAAAGTCTAACAACTCTTCAATTTAGTTTAATTTCCAAAAATTAACATTGTATATATTTTAAGTATAGTTTTCTCCATATGTACAAACATTTACATTTATTACACGTTTATTTTACCTGGTTGTAATACGTTCGAAAAGTTGTTCAAAATTTTATACTCAGGGCAACTCAAAATTTAAAATTACAATAAAAACTATATTACTATATGTGCAACATTCAAACTATAATCAAAAATTGCGTATTACCTAATTGTACTTATAATCTAAAGGCTGATAAATCGGTATAAGTTTTTAAATAAAAGTCAAATGGCTTTTTTGGACCTTGGCTTCTTCACCCCGTTCTACTCTCTTTATTATATTTATTTTAATTAATAAATTAATTAATGTAATATGTTAAGTTACAAGTTAAGTTACAAGTTAAGTAAAAAGTACAGTAAAAAGTCCAGTAAAAAGTCTAGTAAAAAGTCTAGTTAAAAGTTAAGTAAAAAGTCTAGTAAAAAGTCCAGTTAAAAGTTCCATAAAAAGTCCAGTTAAAAGTTAAGTAAAAAGTCCAGTAAAAAGTCCAGTAAAAGGTCCAGTAAAAAGTCCAGTTAAAAGTTAAGTAAAGAATCCAGTAAAAAGTCCAGTAAAAAGTATAGTAAAAAGTCCAGTTAAAAGTTAAGTAAAAAATCCAGTAAAAAGTCCAGTTAAAAGTTAAGTAAAAAGTCCAGTAAAAAGTCCAGTAAAAAGTCCAGTAAAAAGTCCAGTTAAAAGTTAAGTGAAAAGTCTAGTAAAAAGTCTAGTAAAAAGTCCAGTAAAAAGTCCAGTTAAAAGTTAAGTAAAAAGTCCAGTTAAAAGTTAAGTAAAAAATCCAGTAAAAAGTCCAGTAAAAAGTATAGTAAAAAGTCCAGTTAAAAGTTAAGTCAAAAGTCCAGTAAAAAGTATAGTAAAAAGTCCAGTCAAAAGTTAAGTAGAAAGTCCAGTAAAAAGTCCAGTAAAAATACAGTAAAAAGTCCAGTAAAAAGTACAGTAAAAAGTTTAGTAAAAAGGGTCAGTCCATTATATTTCACCTGAAGTCGTTGCGGCCTATTTTTAAAAAAATCTCATAATTTGTAAAAATAATGTTTAATATCCATAAAATTCATTTTTGAAAATTATTTTATAAAATTTTTTGAATTTAACTTAGAATTATAATTTTTAAGTTGAGTTGCACAGAAAAAAGGTTTGATTGACAGTTTTGAAAATTTAATATAAAAGCATGGAAATACTTTAGATAATGCAAATTTCTTGATTGATATTTGCTAAAAATGAGCTAATTTACTTGTATAAATAGATTATTATGTAAACATACCCAAAATAATAGATAAAAATTTATTTTAAAATTTACCTATGAAATGTCAAAAGTCTCTACATTTTAATAACATTTTTCTAAAAAGTTTATAAATATAAAAAAATTTATTACTATTTAATGTAGAGTATTTTCAATGTACTTTCATAATATGTGCTAACTTTTTAATTTTATAATATATAAATATGAAAAATTTTACCTTTAATATTGAGTGTTTCATGATTTTCAGTGATTTTAATCACTTATTTCTTCTCAGGTGCAAGACTAAAAAATACAATTTTTGTCTTAATATTTAAGTTTGACCTTCTTTTCCACTCTATTAAATTTTGGTGATGGAGATCGAGCTACTTTTCAGTTTAAATTTAGTTTAAAAAATCTGCTGAAAAAACGAATTTGTTGGTTAAAATGCAAGTAGATTTTTGCATGACTATTGAGATAGCCAACTTCAGTGTTATAAAATTACTTGCATTTTAACCAACAAATTCGTTTTTTCAGCAGATTTTTTAAACTAAATTTAAACTGAAAAGTAGCTCGTTCTCCATCACCAAAATTTAATAGAGTGGAAAAGAAGGTCAAACTTGAATATTAAGACAAAAATTGTATTTTTTAGTCTTGCACCTGAGAAGAAATAAGTGATTAAAATCACTGAAAATCATGAAACACTCAATATTAAAGGTAAAATTTTTCATATTTATATATTATAAAATTAAAAAGTTAGCACATATTATGAAAGTACATTGAAAATACTTTACATTAAATAGTAATAAATTTTTTTATATTTATAAACTTTTTAGAAAAATGTTATTAAAATGTAGTGACTTTTGACATTTCATAGGTAAATTTTAAAATCAATTTTTATCTATTATTTTGGGTATGTTTACATAATAATCTATTTATACAAGTAAATTAGCTCATTTTTAGCAAATATAAATCAAGAAATTTGCATTATCTAAAGTATTTCCATGCTGTTATATTAAATTTTCATAACTGTCAATCTAACCTTTTTTCTGTGCAACTCAACTTAAAAATTATAATTCTAAGTTAAATTCAAAACATTTTATAAAATAATTGTTAAAAATGAATTTTATGGATATTAAACATCATTTTTACAAATTATGAGATTTTATAAAAAATAGGCCGCAACGACTTTAGATGAAATATAATGGACTGACCCAAAAGTACAGTAAAAAGTCCAGTGAAAAGTCCAGTAAAAATTACAGTAAAATGTTTAGTAAAAAGTTAATTAAAAAGTCCAGTAAAATGTACAGTAAAAAGTCCAGCAATAAGTTAGGTAAAAAGTCTAGTGAAAAGTACAGTAAAAAGTTTAGTAAAAAGTACAGTAAAAAGTCCAGCAAAAAGTTAAGTAAAAAGTCCAGTTAAAAGTTAAGTAAAAAGTCAAGTAAAAAGTACAGTAAAAAATTTAGTAAAAAGTTATATAAAAAGTTAAGTAAAATGTTAAGTACTCAGTTAAGTAAAAAAGTTAAGTAAAATGTTGACTAAAAAGTGAAGTAAATATCTCCCGTTCTATTTAATATTTTTTATATCTGTAAATTTATAAACCTAACACCCTACCGAGTTTTTTTATTAAATTCGATTTTCGCGTGTTTTAAATTTCTTATAAATCTTAACTCAAATTTCCTAAGTTGTTACAAATACAAAATGTCTATTTTTCATAAAAATATAATTTTTGTATAAAAATATTTCTTTTTTATAAAATACAACTTTTTCTTGCATAATCTTTCAATTTATACTTTATCAGATGATTTTAACTGACTATAAACGATTTTTTAAAAAATTTTAATTTACTTATCTTTATATTTTTTCTAACGTTAGGGAGTAACTGGGGTGTCCAGACACCCCAGACGTATTTTAACGGGAGTTAGAGCTCTTCCTAGAGCAAAACTTTTGGCGGCACTACACACAGGAAAAAAAAAGTCTGACTCCGTTTACACCTTAAATTCAGCCCATGTATTTCACATAAGTCTGTCCTTGTTTAACGGGGCTGACTCCGTTTACATCATAAATTCAGCCTCAAAAAGAGGCTGAAAGTAAAACTTTTTTTTTAGTGTGCAGGTGTCAGCAGATAGAGGTTCAAAGTAAATTATCAACGGGTTTTGAGCGTAAAAAAATTATTAGTTATGCCAAGGGAATACCTTGAATTTTGCTTTTGGTGTCCAGACACCCCAGTTACTCCTTCTAGGGTTAATACAATAAAAAAAATTGAACAGAAAAAAGATACATTGAATATAGCTGTGAATTTTTAGAGACTCCTCTTATAATGTAATAAATGTTCACCTTTTAAGTGCAGAAGATTTTAAGCAGCCATAAATATTAAAATCGCTTTAAAGTGATACCATTGTCAGGCAGTAATTTCGAGAGAGAGATTGATAGTTTAAAATCGTTTTTTAAGTTTCAGGGGTCAATTCACAATGTGTAGGCAGTGTAATTTATAGGATAAGTATTTCTTAAGAAAGTGTTATCCAAAGCTACCGACAGACATAGATTTACTGTAAAGTAAAAATTTAACAAGCTTCTCCACACCTAAAACTGAACTTTTTTACGATCTACAAATTGCATCGTTAGGACAGCATGAAATATGTGTATATATATAGTTACATCTACCATAATATCCAAGTTTAAAACTAAAGGTCAAATTTGATTTTCAATTAACTTTTGTAATAGTATTTAATTTCAATTTCTTACAATATAAATTTATTATCATAAATACGGACTAAAATATTTTAGTTAAATATATATACTACGAATATACTACCTATATATACTACGAAATTATATTGTTTCATTGTTTTTACAATTTGTGGTTTTGAATAGAAATGATGGATTCAGTTAAAAATAAACACAGAAATATACGACTTTCCGCAATTTATTTAGTTTTACGATTTCTATAATTTTTACTTTTAGATCACTTTTATCTGAAACCTTTTACATTAGAATAATGTTTGGTTGAACTTTAGCCTTGATAGTATAATTTTAAATCCTACAACAAACAATCTTGCTTTAAAATAGCTTAAAAATTTGTTACATTTCAATCACTACAATTTTAAGATATAAACGTTTTCAGACTCCTTTTTTTTGTATGATTTTTCTTCTTACTTCTTCATAAATTTTTAAGGATAAATATTAATATTCAAAAATTAGAAAAACAATTTAACTGAATGGAAAAATTATTTAACATTATTATTTAAAAATAATTTTTTTTCTGTAAAGATAATTCTAAAAAATAATATTGTTTACTTTTATCATATCGTAAGCACGATTTTTAGGTGCGCGAGTATTCACGACACTTCTTGCAATAATAATCCTGCAATTTATCAGCATCCTTAGCTAAGATTCCTTTAAATAAATTAAATATCAATTAGAAATGATTAGAAAATATTTATCCTAAAAATCTAGTATTAGATAAAATTAAAGAAGCAAAAGTATATTTAAGCATAAGAAGATAAGATAACATTTTTACAAAGTTTTTAACTGAATTGCATCAATTCAGTTACCTTCTGAAACTTTTGTTTTTGCTGTAAGAGTAGTGGTACCGGCTGCAGATGATTTCGTTGTTGCTGAATTAATTGCTGTTACTATATTTCCACTTCCAATTTTTGCTGTGACCGAAGTAGTTTCTGTACGTAATATTGGGGTGCTGGTTGTACCAGAAATATCAGTTTGCTTTGTAGATAACAAAAATTTTCCAGTAGTACTTGGTAAATATGGATCAGTTGTAATTGTTTTACCTGAAGAAGACTTGGTTGTTGCTCTATTGCTTGATATTATTGTATTCCCACTTCCTGTTCTTGTTGCAAATGTAAGAATTTCTGTACCTTTTGTTGTGAGTCGACTAGTGCCAGAAATACCAGTCTGTTTTGTAGATAACAAAACTTTTCCTGTAGTACTTGGTGAATATGGTACATTTTTAATTGTTTCATCTGAAGAAGATTTGGTTGTTGCTCTATTACTTGATGTTATTGTATTCCCACTTCCTGATCTTGTACCTAACATAGTACTTTCTGCACTTAATGTCGTAAACCCAGTAGTACCAGAATTACCAACGAGCCTTGTAGATGACAATACTTTTTCAGTGGTACTTTGTGTGTATGGTACTATAGTTATTGCTTCACTCGAAGAAGGTTTTGTCATAAGCACTGTATTTGTTGTTTTTATTGTATTCCCACTTCCTGTTTTTGTTGCAAACGTAGTAGTTTCTGCAACTTTTGTTGTGAGTACACTAGTGCTAGAAATACCAGTCTGCTTTGTAGATAACAAAACTCTTCCAGTAGTACTTGGTGAATATGGCACTGCAGTAATTATTACACCTGAAGATGATTTCGTTCTTGCTCTATTAGTTGATGTTATTGCATTCCAACTACCTGTTCTTGTTGCAAATGTAGTAATTTCTGCACCTTTTGTTGCAAGCCCACTAGTACCAGAAATACCAGTCAGCTTTGTAGATATCAAAACTTTTTCAGTAGTACTTGGTGAATAAGGCATTGTTGTAAATATTTCACCTGAAGATGATTTTGTTGTTGCTTTATTAGTTGCTGTTATTGTATTCCTACTTCCTGTTTTTGTTGCAAACGTAGTAGTTCCTGCACCTTTTGTTGTGAGTCCACTAGTGCTAGAAATACCATTCTGCTTTGTAGATAACAAAACTCTTCCCGTAGTACTTGGTGAATTTGGTACTGTAGTAATTGTTTCACTCGTTGAAGATTTTGTCATCAACTCTGCATTTGTTGTTTTTATAATATTCCCACTTTCTGCTCTTGTTGCGAACGAAGCAGTACCTGCACTTAATGTTGTAATCCTACTAGTAGCAGAATTACCAACCTGCTTTGTAGTCAATACAACTTTTTCAGTAGTGCTTGGAATCTCTGTTGTACTTTTGACTATACCATTTCTTGTCACATAAGAAGAAAATGCAGCACTTATTCCAGGAAGTGTTGTAGATTTTTTATAAGTTTTCAGTTGAGTACCAGTAGCTTTTTCTGTTTTCTGATTATTTTCTGTCGTTTCGTCTACATCTAAAAATTACTATTTATTAATTACCAAAGAACAATATAAAAATAAATAAAATATGTTTTTCTTATTTACATTTACAAATGCACGTTGTTGCTCTTTCTGTTGTAGGTGCAGCTTTAACTGAAAATTTTTAAGTTACTTAATATATAAGTTTAGCAAAATTAAAGTTTCTAAAAAGAGACAAATGTTTCTCACCATATGAAGTAATTACTAACAATTGGAATGAAAATATAATAATAATATGCATATTTATTGATAAAAATATATTTTATCTAAAATAAATTGCTATTTTAACACTTATCACAACTTAAAATAAAGTAGTAACTGTTGCATTTTGAGCTTATTATATCAAGTTTTTCATGAATGTAATCACAATTTTTTATTGAATTTATTATCAAATTTATGCAGTTTCTTTTCTTACCTTTGAAAGTTTATTTCTATGAAAACAATGAAGAAAATAATTCTATTCATTAGTAAAAACGTTCACAGCTTTTGTTATAAATTGTTTTACGTGTTAAAAAGTAACTTTTTTGACAATAGGCAAAGATAAAAGCAAAATTTTTATAAATACTTACTGTTTCATTAAATTATTTTAACACGATGGGATCTTTTGCAAACTAATAGTCTCTGTATATCCTAATATTATTATGATATTAAACAAAATGTTAACGCGTTACGAAGAAAAGTACTCTCTAAATCTGAATTAGTAGTTTTCTACTAATGAAATAGTGCGGATTCGTTTACCAATTGATTTAGTAACAGTTTTTACTAATTTATAGTAGTTTTTTTACTAATTATTAGTAGAAAATTTACTAATTTGAATTAGTAAAAAATAGTTCTACTAATTGAATTAGTAATTTTCTATTAGCAATTAGTAAAAAACTACTAAAAATTAGTAAAAAAACTACTAAAAATTAGTAAAAAATGTTACTAATTCAAATTGGTAAACGAATCCGCAATAATTCAGATTTAGAGAGTAGAAGGAAAAAATCGAGATTACGTTTGTAATTTTTTAAATGAAAATACACTAAGGCGATCAACTCTCAATATAAACGACTGATATTCAAGAGATCATTACATCTAAAAAAAACTTGTTGCTTCCTCATAAAGGAAGCTTTGTATTAGCAAAATTTTGGATTTTCATTTTTTGACATATTTATAAATTTTTTTTTATTATGCCTAATACTTTAGTACTTTATATATGCACAGGAACTCCCCGTATAAATGTTTTAAATAAATAAATAAAAAGTTCTATGTAATTTCAGCTCAGAAGTCCAAAAAACGTATTTAAAAAAATTGTCCGGATGTGTGTGTGTGTGTGTGTGTACTAACATTACATTTACCTCAATATCTCAGAACCAGAAAGAGCTAAAGGCTTCAATTTTTTTAATTGTAGGTCTCCTCGAAGGACATAAAATGAGAGTATTTTCAGCCCGGTTCATGAAGTTTAACTAATTTTTTTTGCATTTTTAATTTTTCAAAAAAACGTTTTTTGACCATAACTTTAAAAAAATGTTAGGACACCTATAAATGTTTTTCTTTAGTTTTGTAGAGTTTTTCAGACGCATCTTTTGAGGCATCACTGAACATTTTTCGTCCATATTATCCGTAGATATTAAACTTTTAAAAATCTAAATTTTTGGAAAACAAGACTTTTTTGAAAATTTTGTTGAAAAATGTAAAAATAATTTTTAAAGTATCATTTCCAACCTGTAGAGCATTAAAAAACGCTTCGATTGACCTATTTGTCAACTTGATTCGACCAGAAATGACAAAATTATTGGTATTTTAAAAATAAAAAAAAAATTGTCGAAAATAACATTTTAAAAATTTTTTTATTTAAGAGTTTTTCTTTAACTATTACTTAACGAATTATTTGTTTTTAATCCATATTACTTATAACAAAAGAAATATAAACAATTATAGAATAATGACAATTAAAAAAAATAATTAACTTTTAATGAAATTGGCTGAATACCAATTGACGAAAATATAAAACATTCTATATTATTTATTTCTATTATTATTATCTCTATGAGGAAGCAAAGTTTTCATGAAATGAACACAACGAGATTTACGAAAAAAATCGTACAACTTGGCAGCGGTTTTTTGGTTTTAAATTAAATACAAAAACTTTTAATTAAGATAAATATAACAGAATCATATATAACCTTAAAATGATTTGCTTTTAAGGTACCTTTTTTAGAGCGAGTCACAGATTGAAATAATGTTTCATTTTATAGTAATTATTATCTTCTATCTATTTAATTAGTGGGACAAAGATAAAAATAAACACAGAATAAATAATTTTAGAAATTGTTGCTTCATTTTTATTGTTGGCAAGATGCATTAATTGGTAGAAGATTCGCAAAAGGCAGCAATAAACGGAGGTTCGAGTCCTCGCAGATGCACAGTGCATTCTGCCACGCAAAATTAATTCAGAAAAAAGTATAATATATACTATATATATTTTTAACATTAATTGTTTCTTTAAGTTCTGTCGATATTCAGTAATGATAAGGATAAAGAGGATACAAGTTCAAAGATTTATCCAAAGAAAAATTTCTAATAAACTGTTTTATTTATTTCAGAAGATTAATTCATTTTTCTACACATTAAAATTCATAATTGACGTAAATACATAATATTAATGGTTCAGTTATAAAAGAGAAATCTTAAATCAAGAAAATTTATCCTCCAAGGGATATTCCATTACCGAGACTTAATCCTCCAGTACCACCGCTTCCAAGACCCAATTTACTAGCAAGTCCTCCACTACTTCCAAGACCCAATTTGCTAGCAAGTCCTCCACTACTTCCAAGGCCTAATTTAGAAGCAAGCCCATCAGTTCCAAGGCCCAGACTGCTTCCAAGTCCTCCACTACTTCCAAGGCCTAATTTAGAAGCAAGCCCATCAGTTCCAAGGCCCAGACTGCCACCAAGTCCTCCGTTACCTCCAAGGCCTAATTTACCACCAAGTCCACCACTTCCAAGGCCCAGACTGCCACCAAGTCCTCCGTTACCTCCAAGGCCTAATTTACCACCAAGTCCACCACTTCCAAGCCCCAAACCAAGTCCTCCGCCACCTCCAAGGTCTAAATTACCAGAAAGCCCATTACTTCCAAGGCCCAGACTGCCACCAAGTCCTCCGCTACCTCCTAGACCCAATTTATTACCAAGTCCTCCGCTACCTCCAAGACCCAAATTACCATTAAGTTCTAGACCACTTCCAAGACCTAAACTTCCACCAAGTCCTGCGCTACTTCCTAGACCCAGTTTTCCGCTCCCAAGGCCTAAGCCCAAATTACTATCAAGACCCTATAACACAAGGAAAGTAATATTTTATTTCTTTATCTTTATTACTCATTTATTTACTAACTGCTATTTATTGAATTTTTGGCAATTAAAAATTTTTTTTTTTTCATTCGAAAAATCTTATCTCCTCTAGGGATCGAACCCTGGATTTACAATTACAAGTCAGAAGCTCTAACAACTCTACTACGCACTCTCGTGAGAAATTTAAATTCGATTCTTAACATATAAGATACAAGTAAAAATTTGGTATTCTCAAATTAATTGGTTATCGTAACCAAAAATTATGGTCGACTGAAATAAAGTATTTCAATTTGGTACTGAATAGTTTATTTCAGTCAACATCAGTTTGGTACGAAACCAAAATTATCTTAAAAAACTAAATTCGATTAATCACCAAAAATAAAATGGAACTTTAACTATAGTTATTAAAAATAAATTCTCACCAAGTCATATTTAAGGGCATCTTTGCTCAGTTTCTTCATGAGCTGCAAAAAAAAGTATAATATATTTAAATACCTACATATAATTAAAATACATTTTTTATAAAATTATATTACGATTTTATCTTACAATGTATTATATGCACGGAAAAAAATAGAATAACTTTTACTGTTTACAAAATAAAATCTAAATTTTCTGTAACTTGTGCGCATTTTCGTTTTGCAACTTTTAATATTTTCGGAGTAAATTTTACTATACGTTCGAAGTACATTTTACCAAATTTTTTTTTAAATGTACTTTAAACGTATAGTAACTTTTAATTAAAAGTTAATTATTTATCTTTTCGTGAGTGTATATTTAAAAATTTATTCAAAACTTACTTTTCTGATGAACTTGGGTTTCTTATGATGATGTTTCTATTTAAAAAGATTGAAATCAAATTATTAATTTTTTCATTACTTTATATATTAAAATTTATATTTATATATTAAATTCATATATTAAAAGTAAATATATAAATTTAACGTATGACAGTAAATATAAGTAAAAGTATATAATAAAATAAAATAAAAAATATATAATAAACGTAAATAGAATATGTAATAGAAAAGTACTATTTTCTTTCATTTTTACCTTTTTTTCTTTTTTATCGTCTGAAGGCAAATCAGGAGTGCCAGGCTAAAATAAAAGTAGAAATTCATTGTATAGTCAAAAACAAAGAAAATGAAAATAATGAAGAATTCTAATAAATTACTTGTTTTTTAGTAGTATTTATTTTTACCTGAGCTGCATTAGATTCATCACTTTCTTCAGATGATGAACTGGAGCTGGACTAAAAATGGACAATTTCTTTAATTAAAATGAAAAAAAAATGTTTAAAAATTGAGGTTATGTTTGTAATTTTTTAGAATCAAAATACACAAAACCGACTAACTTTCAATATAAATCACTGATATTTAAATCTTCATTATATTTAAATTAATTGATATAAAACCAGTCGTTAATTTTAAACTATAAAACAGAAACTTTAAATTAGGAATAAAGAAAACAAACATAACCTTAAAATGATTTAGTTCTTCAGAACGCGTCACATATATTCTGAAAAAGTTGAAAATTTCTTTATAATTTTTTTTCTACTTACTTCACTACTTTCTGATGATTCTGATGATTCTGATGAAGACGAATCAGAACGCAACTAAAAGTGTAAAAACAGAATTTTTATTATAAAATAAAATAAATTATTTAACAATGAAAAAATAATGTAAATTTAAATTCAATAATTTACTTCAATAAATTTAATATTTAAATAATAAAATAAAAAATAATCCAATAGAAATTAAACTAAAATTTAATAATTTATTCAAAACAAGAGAATTAAAAGTCTTACTTTCTTATAGGCACAACCGTACAAACTTTTAACGAAATCCTTTGTCTGAAAATAATAAATTAATATTAGTTATCCTTAAATTTTTTGACATTTTTTTTTGTAATGTTAACAATCAAAAACTTACTGATTTCGTTTTATCTTTAATTTTATCCAATAAATCTGACAATTTCTGAGCACTAATTTCACGCTGTAATGTGAAAAAATATTTTTTATTTAAAAAACTTTAATATATTGTTGTTAAAAATCTTAAATACTCAATTTTTTTTACCTTCTCTACTGCATCATCAATTTTATCTTTTAAATCCTGAATATCTTGCTTAGCTTTATCTTTCTAAAAGAAAAAAAAAATTCAAAATTTTATTAAAATAATAAGAATTATAGTGGGGTAATAATATTATTATATAATTAACACTTACAGCTTTATCGACAAAATTTAAAGATTTATCTAAAAGATCTTTCTTGAAATCCAAATCCTATAAATAATAATAAATGATTTATTATAATTAAATACATTAATTTATAAATCTAAAAATATACTAATATTATTTGAAATATTAAATTTTTGAATTCATATCAATTTTAATAATCGAACAATTTATATTTTTTTAAGGACACCTATAATTACTCACTTTTTTAATTACATCCTTGATTTTATCGGCAAGTTTATCGAGGTTAAGATCTAATTTACCTAACTGTAAAAAAAGGAAAAAGATTTTGTATTATAAATTAATAATATAAGTTTCATATTTTTCAAATTATTTTTTATTTAATAAATAAAATAAATAAATTAATAAATATTTTCTATGTTAAAAATTTTAAATTAAAACAATCAAATAGACATAAAATACCTCCCCGAGAATATCCTTAAGATGATCCAATTGTTTGTCATTCAATTCAATTTTTTTCTGTTAAATAAAAATTCATTAAGTGTATTAAAATAATAATTAGGTAAGAAAAATTATTTTATTTTATTGAAAATATTCTGTATTATTTGAAAAAAACAATGTTTTATATTTCAGATATTTTAATTCTTTCCTTTTGTTTCTTACTTTTGATAATAAATCCTTTAAGTCTGTTTTTAAATTTTTAACACAGTCTTCTAATTTGTCTCCCTGAAAAAAATATCATTGAGTATATTTTATAATTACTAAGGTCATTAAAAAATCTATTGTCATAATTATGTTATAAAATTTTTTAATTTTAAGTTAAAATACTTACGATATTTTTAATTTTACGTTTTAATTTAAGGGAAGGCATCAGATACTTAGGATGTTTCTAAAAAAATTATTAGTACATTATTAATAAATTATTACAATTATTGACATTATTTTATAATTATTATTTATAATATTAAATTATTTTTTTGGAATAACTTATAAAAAAAAAGAATAATGAATTTTCTCTTAAAAATAATTACAGTAAAATTTTATAAAGCATTCTCAAAACTTACCAGTATAAACTCCGCATATTTCTTTTTTATATCAGAAGGTATTGCTTTTAACTGTAAATATTAAATTATTTACATTATAATTTTATGTTTGAAAATTAATTTTTATCAATAAAGAAAAATTGTATTTAAATTAAATTTATTTAACTACTCACTTTGTCTTTATATTCATCTAAAATTTCACATGGGCATTTCTTTTCCTGTAAATAAAAATTTTGAAGAATTATTAAAATGACTTTTTATAAAATTTTCACAGAGAAATTTAATAAATGGAGGTGTTTTTAAGCTCAATACTTACATTTGTCTGCAATTGATCAATAGTTAATTTGTCTTTCAGTTCCTGTATATGTTCTGGGCTAAGTTTCAATTCACTTAAATACTTATTCTCAGTTATCTTATCCAAAAGTGAAGAAGCTATCAAAAAATTAAAAATTATTATACTTAATATTTTATATTATATTTCACAATTTTTGTTATACTATATTTCGTTATGTACTAATATTTTTAAAAATTTAATTTTTCTTACAAGTTACAGCAATCACAGTTAAAATCCCGAATAATATTAAGGACTTCATGTTTAAAATTGCAATCCGCCAGTTAAATTAATTTTCAATTTATTTCAACTTTGGTGATTTCCGAATACCAAACTTGTATTAGAAATTATTTTTTTTCTTTCCTTTATATAGGAAGTTGAAAATATTGTCTTATTAATTCACAACAACGTTCGTTTACTTTTTTATCTCAAAACAATTGAAAAAATTTAAAGAAAATCTATTGTCGAAAAAAAACAACAATAAAATATCGTAAAACCAAAAAAAAAAACAATAAACAGAAGATTACGATTGGAATAAACATCTTTTAATAGTAAAATTGATAAAATTTAAATCTATTCAACAGAATTAAAAAAACGTGATAAATTTAAAATTCTTTTTTATTCATTGTATTAGAAAAATATCATTGTTTCTTTCTTTTCTTTTGCAAAATTTATGACATCAGACGAAAATAACAATAAGGTAAATTGTATACGCACTTATATATTATTTATTTTTGCAAATATTCCTATTTCTGTGTGACCGTTTTTTTTCATAAAAAATAATTCTTCGGCACTTCCCGGTCATGAATCATTTTTCCCGGTCATAAAGAAAAATTCTCAAAAATTATTTTCAAAATTTCAATCCATTTATTTCCTAAAAATTTTAACTAAAATTCATTTCTAATTCATTTATTTTTACTATTTCTTATAAGAAAGTTCCTTACAAAATTCAATTAGTTCAAAAAAAAAAAGTTGACCTATAAAACTAAAATATTTCTTAAATCCACTTATTTACAATTACAAGACAATTTCATGTTTCGAATAATTTGAAAATTTTTCAATTAAATACATATTTTAAAATATAACTATAATTTAAAAACAAAATGTGAATAAAAATATTTCAAAAAACTAACTTATTTAGAATTTTTCATTAAAATTTTTTAAAATTCAACTTTTCCAAAATTTTAATTTGAAACTTTTTAAAATTCAATCCGATTCAATCTATATTAATATAATATTAGTAATATTTATTTAACGTATTCTAAAATTTGAGAATAAGTTTTGTCATAATATTAGTGCAAAAAAAAAATATTTATAAATTAATATATTTTTTACTATTTTATATGTGAAATTTTTTTCTATTTTAAAATATAACATTTTTCATAACATTTTATATTAATTTTTATATTACTTTTTGTAACTTTTTGTGATTTTGATTTTTGAAATAATTTCATTTCTGCTTAGAGTTGTATTAAAATTTTTGTAAATAGATAATTTAATTGTTTTGAAAAATTTTATGGGACATTTTATAAAAATAATTATATTCTTTTTGAGGAATTCAATTAAAATTGTATTGAAAATAATTATATTGTTACAATTGAATTCTTTCGAGAAGTTTTATTATAACATTTTTATTTCATTTATGTGAAGAATTTTATTATACGTATATGAAAATATTTGAATTCTCGCAAATTTTTTCAATGAAATCAATTAAAATTGGAATTAAACAATTGAATTGTTTTAAAGAATTTAAAGAATGTTGTTAAAGTTGATTTTTTTAAATTTTGAATCTAAAATGATTTTATATTAAAAATAATTTTTATTAAAATAATTTAATTTCTTGTCTTTACAATAACATTTATACTAATTTAAAATTATTTTATTAGTTTCATTATTGTTATTATTTTGTTTTTTTATTATTATTATAGTAATTATTTGAATTTTACTATCATTAGTAATTATTTTGTTTTAAGTATTATTATAGTAATTATTTTGTATTTATTTGTATTTATTATTAATTATTTATTATTGATTATTTATTATTTATTATTTATTTATTATTATTTAATAAAATAAATAAAATTTAAAAGTTTTTTTCCTGTCAAATGAATATTGAATGCTTAAAGTTATATTATTTTCTTGCATATAATTGAAAAAGTCTTAAGCATTATATCCATTGTGTTTTTAAAAAAGATTATTTCTCGATACGAACTAATCACATATTTACTCATAAATGTTTATGCGGGTGTATGAAGAAATTCTTTATTCATAAACATGTTTGTCTTGCTCATATACATTTACGTAAACGTTTTAGAAATATTTACGCGCTGATTTGAAATAAATTTATTCTAATTCATCCAATGATATGCACCAGTTTTTTTTTAAAAGAAATCAAAAGACCTACTTTTTTTATGTTGGCTTTAGTTTTAGTTGATAAAATTCAACTATTCTTTGGTAGTATATATACAAGTAAGTATTTAAGTGAAAACCTGTATTACATCAGATATATTTAAAGAAAAATGTCACATAATTATTTCTCTGTGCTTATATTTATTACAATTATTGTCTTCATTTCGTGTGAGTAAAAAATTTAATGTACTTATTGAGAAGTGACCTCTTTGCGCTGATAAAACTATTATTAAAAACGTAATTAAATCAACAGAAGAAATTTATTTAGAATAAGCAAAAAATTATTTTCTTTTTCGTAATTTATTTTTATTATTTTGATAACGTGTGTTATAATTGGTAATGAACTTATTTTGAATTTAAAAATTTTAAAAACTTTATTATAACAAAATTACCAAAAATACAATTTTTGATACTATTTGTTAAATAGTTATTTATTGTATTTATTATTTAGATACATAAATGATAAATATTTATTAGATTCTAAATTTTATGTTTGAAAATTCCTATAGGTTCAAAATTTGAAGATTCAATAAAGAAAAGAGCATATCCTGAAAAAGGGGAAGTGGAAGATGTTTTCACAGATAGAGAAAAGGAATCTAATCATGTAAAGTGGATAGGAGGCTTTTTACCACAATTTACCACTGAAATTCCACGTGATCCTCTCGACAAAGATGAAGATGTCAATTTACGGCCTATTAAAAATGATAAAATGCCAATGTCATAAAATAATTATATTATTATGAGCATATGTTTCATTGATAAACAATTTTTTATTTAATCAAACCAAACTAAAATTCTATAGTTTTTAGAATACCTTCAATAGTATATACGTATTTATAAATTTTCAACACAGTGTTTAAAATAATCTTTAACTCCATTTGTTAATGATTTAAAGGCAGAAACAACTTTTTCATAGCAGACATGAGCATCCTGAAAATAAATACTTAACTGTTAGGAATTCTATTATAAAAATTGATTATTATTATTATCAGTATTATTATTACTATTTTATTATTATTTTTATTATTTTTATATTATTATTTTTATATTATTATTTTTATAATCTTAAAACATTTATACCTGAACATTATTTAGATGATTTTCTGTTATATTGCACTGATCCAATTCATCATAAAATTCATCAATATAGGATAATAAAGCCTTTGAAAATTGATGAATGCATTCGGAAGGATTTTTCCCTGTTTTCCTTAAAGTATCAGTTTGAAGCTATTTAAAAAAAATACAAAATTAACTTATAAAATCTATATTAATAATAATCGTTGTATTCCGGTAATAATCTGTTCACGGTATGAAGTTAGTTGTTGATTGCTTTCTTGATTCCTAACTTTTTTAAAAAATTTTCTTTCCAAATATTTTCAATTTTAAAATTAATGTATTGAAAATAATTGCGAATTCTTGCAAAGAATCGTATCAAAAAATTTCAAGAGATTAATTGAATTCCTTCGATGAATTTTTTTATTTATAAAAATAATTGAATTCTCGCGATGAATTTTATTAAAAATTTTTTAAAATTCTAATTAAATTTCTTTGGATTTTTTTAAAATAACAGATAGTTTCTTGAATAATTTTAATTAAAAACTTTGAGAGCAATTGAATTTTATTAAAATTGTATTGATAATAATTGAATTTCTACAAAAAATGTTAATATTTATAAAAATAATTGAATTCTTGTTAAGAATTTTACTATATTTATAAAAATAATTGGATTCTTTTCTGAAATTTTATTAAAATTTTGTCAAAAGTAATTGGATTTTTGAAAAAAATTTTATTTTTTATAAAAATAATTGAATTCTTCCAAAGAATGTTATTATTTAAATATATAAAAATAACTGAATTCTTGCGAAGAATTATATTAAAATTTTCGAAAATATGAACAATAATAATTAATTTTGTACTTAGTAAGTGAATTTTTAAAATTTTTAATATGAAATTATTTTAAAATTTATATTTGAAAATAAAAAATATTGTAATTTGCATAACAATAATAAATTGAAGAACATTTTCTGCGCTTATAATTTACTATAGTTATATTTAAAATATAATAAAAAATTAAAATTTAAAATTTTTCCATAATAAAAACATTATTTAAACAAACAAATCCTACTCGAATTTCTTTTATCACAGGATGTGTAATTTGTTCCATTTGTCCTATAGTCGATAATTCTAAATTAAATAAATCCTTTGTCATCCATTCCGATTTATTAAAATGAATCCCACTTTTTTCCTTTTGTTTCTCTTCAAAACTTAAATCAGCCTGAGAAAAGATTGAAAATATTTCAAAATATATTGTTGGGTAAAAGAATTTTTAAAAACATTTTTTCTCTCACTTTATATATCATTCATTTAATGTACTTACCTGACTAAATTGATAGGTTTGAAATATTATAAGAATGGCAAAAATTATGAAATTCATAATTTTTATAAAAAAATCCAATCGAATGATAACTGCACAAATATTTAACGTGTACTATTATAAGCGTGTGCTATTATAAAAACTTAAGGTTGACAAATAAGTTATCAATTAATTATCTCAATGATTGTCTTATCGGCAATGAGATAAAAATTTAATCACATATGAGAATTATAAGAATAAGAACATAAAAATTTCATTTTATTTCGAATTTAATTAATGTTATAATAGAAAAATAAATAAATCTTGATATTCTGCTAGTCAAGTGGGGTATAAACAACTAATTGTCTTACTGTAAGGTTCCGTGTTCGAATCCTTGCAAATATGGAATTTTTTTTTTAATAATTTATCAATTATTTTCCATAAGACATGATTTTCTTGCTATCATCAGATAATGAAACTTCCATTCAAAGTGAAATTAATAAAAACCTTTTCAAGAATCATATCTAAAACTTTAAAAGAATGTATTCACATCGTATAGCTTTTCAACTTTCATATTAAGTTTATATTTCTTTATAAAACCTTCAATTTGAGGAGATTGCAAAATAAAATTTCCATATTCTCTTTATGAGGATAATAAAACATTCAAGATTGTATATCTTCGAAATTATCCCATAAATAGATAATAAATTTTAAATATTTTCCTTTATTATTGAACGGTAGCTGCTGTGAAGATAATTAAATTTTTTATTTCACTATTTTTCCAAATAGCGTCCCACATGAATGTAAATTTAATTTACAATCTAAAACTATTTCCAATCATTGAATTTTGAAGAATACAATTTTAAATTTAAAAAAAGATCACTTTCTAGTTAATGAAATTTTTTCACATTCAATGTAACTTTTTCACTTTTTTTTCAAAAAAAAAAAAAATATTTCAGAATAAGAAGTAAAATGTTACTCCATTTTGAACGATCAATATCTTTTTTTTTATATCTCCCGGACCATTCAGTTTCCCCTTGGAGATCATAATATTTCACGCCCATGAAGCAACATGGCTGACGATAGTCACCATGGAAACACCATCAGATTACGCAACATTTTGAAATTTTTTCTCTAAAAATTAAAAATTACGATTTTAGTTTGCCAACAATTTGTTCGTGTGCGCTTCATTTCGCAATACAATAAATACTTTTAAATATACTGTTTATTTTTTGTTATCAAATTATTGTTTCCTTTCGTTAAAGAAAGAAAAAAATCAATATTTTTTTTTGTTTGATTCTTTCTTACAGAACATTAAAAATAGGTTGAAATTTAAATTGTTTCTGTTTTAGTGAAAAGAAAAGTGAATATAGTGAATAAAGTGAATTCACTTTATTTATTATGCAAATTACAAAATTTTTTATTTTCAAATACGAATTTTTGAATAATTTTAAATTTAAACTTTATAAAAAAATTCAAGTATTAACTAATTTAGTAATTAAATATATTCTTGTTTGTTAATTTCAAAAATTTTAATAATATTCTTCGCAAGAAATCAATTATTTTCATAAATAATAATATTCTTCGCGCAAGAATTCAATTATTTTCATAAACAGAAAAATTCTTTGCAAAAAATTCAATTATTTTTAAACAAAATCTTAATAACATTTTACGAACGAATACAATTATATTCTAAAATTTTATTAAATCCTTCGAAACAATTTAATTATATTTATAAATAGTAAAATTCTTTGCAAAAATTAAATTATTTTCAAAAAAATTCCACGAAAAAATTCAATTTTTTTCTAAAATTTTAATAAATCCTTCGAAACAATTGAATTAAATTTATAAATAGTGCAATTCTTTGCAAAAATTCAATTATATTTAAAACAATTTCATGATATAATTCAATTTTTTTCTTAATTCGTTATAAAAAAAATTCAAAAGAATTCAATTAGGTATTTACTAAACTTTTTATAAATTCTTCGAAAAAATCCAATTATATTTATAAATTAGTAAAATTCTTTGCTAAAATTCAATAATTTCCAAAAAAGTTCCATGAAAAAATTCAATTTCCTGTCTAATTTTTAATAATATTTTAAAAAAAAATTCAATTATTTTCTAAACTTTTAATACTTAAATCCTTCGAAACAATTCAATTAATTATTTATAAATAGTAAAATTCTTTGCAAAAATTCAATTATATTAAAAAAATTTTTACGAAAGAAGTCAATTTTTTTCTTTAGTTATAAAATTTTTCAAAAGAATTCAATTATTTTCTAAAATTTTAATCAAATTTAATAATTAAATGTTTAATTTCAGTTATTAAAAACAAGATTATTTTAAAAACTTGAAAGAAGTTGTTCATAAAATTAAATTATTTTCAATAAATTTTAAAATAAAATTATTAAAGAAACTCCATTATTTAAAAAAAAATTCAAAGAAATTCAACAAAAAGAATTTAATTAGAATTTTATTAACTCTCTAAATTAGAATAAGTAAAAATGCGTTTACTAATTATATAGAATTACTGACTGACGTTTTGCATTTGAATTAGTAAATTTTACTAATAAATGGTAATTTCTACTAATTTGTTAGTAAAATTTACTAATTATTCTACTTAAGTAGAAAAGAAAAGAAATGCTACTAAAGCAAAAACTCAGTCACTAATTCTAATTAGTAAACATTTTTACTAATTTTCAAAAAATTAAATTCTATCAACGAATTTTAATAAAATTTTTAAGAATAATTTTACATTTTTCGAGAAATTCGATGAAAAGTGTATTAAAAATAATTGAAATTCAGGAATAGTTTTATTAATTGTGAAAATAATTGAATCCCCCAAGAAGAATTTTATTACTTTTGAACAATATTTAATTTTTGCGAAGAATATTATTATACTCTTGAAAATAATTGAATTTTTGCAATAATTTTTAACTTTTACAAAATTGAATTTTTTTTCCTGTTTTTAATTAAACATCTTCTATAAATCCAATATTTTTCATAATTTTTGAAAAAGTTTTTTAAGAATTTTCAAATTCATTTATTTACAATTCAATTTTTCTTAAATTCTTCAATTAAATATATATTAGAAAATAATAACTTTCAATAATTTCCAAAAAAAATCCGCAATTAAAGTTTCTCAAAAAAAATTAATTCTACAGAATTGTTAATTCAAATTTTCAAAGTTTTTAATCTAAAACGCTTTTTAAAATTTAATTATTTCTAAAAATTTACGCTCTAATGCTTTTAAAATTTATTTATAAGTCTAAAATTTTAACTGAAATCCATTTTTAAATTAATGTTTATGACAAAATTGTACTAGAATTCAATTATTTAAATAAAATAATAATTTATTGAATAATTGCATGTTTCTTAAAATTGAATTTTCATAAAGAATTGTATCTATAAATTTTCAAATAACTGAATTCTTTTTAAGAATTTTAATACAATTTTTTCGATGAATTCGATTAAAATTGTATTAAAAATAATTGAAATTCTGCAATGAGTTTTATTATTTTATGAAAATAATTGAATGATTGTGATGAAAAAATTTATTTAAAAAATTTGTAAATTATGAAATTCCTGTAGAAATTTTATTATTTTTTGAAAATAATTAAAAGTTTGTTTAGAATTTTATTAAAGTTTTTTTTAAATAATTGAATTCTTTTGGAAAATTTTATAAAAATAGAAGATATATTAAAAATCATTGAATTGAGGAAATTTTTTTTTAATTAATTGTATTTCGGAGAAGAAATTAATTATTTCTATAAAGATAATTAAAATTTTGATGAGAATTTAAAAAATTTCTAAACACAATTGAATTTCTGCGAAAAATTCTTTTTTTTTTGAAAATAATTGAATTTCTGCAACATTATTTTCATCCATTTTGAATCAGATTACGTACTTTATTGACCTTTTTTTTAAAAAAACGGACTTTTACGGACTTCAATAGCAAAGTTACGGACTTTTACGGGATTTACGGACCTAGTTCGAGCCCTAAGAAAGTAAAAATTAATAATAGTTCTATTGATTTGAATATATACGTGGATTTAAATTACAAAAATAATTCCAAAATTTTATTGTTAAAACTGCATTCTTAGTTCTTTTATAACTAATTTTTTAAATTTTTTTTTTCTATTTTTAATAATAGAATTAATGCAACTTTCGAAATTCAGTTGAGGGTCAAAAAGAGTAGTCAATTTATACAAAATCTATTAATATTTACAGAGCGGATGTATTTATAAATTTCAAGACAAAAACATCCGGAACAGGGAAAAATTTATCCTACAATTATAATCTAACTATAGTATATATAGATGCAATGTTCAAATATATTTTTGAATTATTTATTAAACAAATAGATAAGAGAAGAAAATGAAATTTAAGAAAGAGTCTTTCTCAAGGAAAAATTTATATATGTATAGAAATTTTATTATAGGTGTGCATTATCAGAAAAAAAGAGGGTGAAAAAAGCAGTAGAAACCGTGGCATGCATTGCCAAAGTCATTTCTTCTATCCCCTTTACAACTTTATAACTTTCAACCATGCATCGTTTGACAGTAGAATCATCCGCACCAGGACCACCTTATTTCCTCACGTGTATAGATATATATGTACGTTGTAAAGTCTCTAGGTTATAGGTAAAGCTATCTTGTGCCATTCTTTTTTATGACTCATCCCGTTAAGCCATTATATCCGATCCGTCATTTCAAATATATTCCACGGATCTTTCAGGAAAAAACGAACAAACTTGATTCCAATCCCTTTTATTGCCCCTAGTCCATCTGCTTTCGCGATTCTCAGCATTGTTTGAAGTTATAAATCAGCCACCCATTATTAATTCTCGTTTTTATTCTCATTTTCTTACTATATATAGAATTAACTATAGGGTAAGTCGGGGGGAGATGGCCATAGTTTTTTTAAAGTAGTGCAAAATTGATAAAAAAGCTTTTTTTGTCTAAACTTTTATTGATAATTAAACATTGAACACTTAACTTGAAAATAAAGAAACATAAAATAAAATATTTTCATTGCAACAATCTTAAAATTTACATTTTCGAAAAAGTGCATTTGGCCATTTCTCTGGAATGTCCGGGTGAGATGGCCACATGTGTTCGGGAGAGATGGCCACTACCTATAATTTTTGGCTTTTATCTTAAAT